ACAAACAGCCGGTTTAAGAGTTGTTGCCACAATGTGTGACAAGGCGACAAAAAATAAATCGGTCAAAAGCGAATTGCAGCCAAAAACCAGGGAAATCTACATCAAAAACAACACAGAAACAGAAATTTTGGTTTTGTTGGAGATAAACAACCTAGTACCACTGTATGATGCTCCATAATACATGCTCGAGGGAATTATGAATTATTTGATCAAATATGACAGCTATTCAAATGGAAAAATGGACATTTTCAAAAAGCAAATTGGAAAGTTTTTCAGTTAGCTTATGAGTCAGATACGCCCAAATCATCTAGATTATAGACTATTTTATTCATTAAATGATTCTCACAAATATATGAAAATAAAATGTATAAAATTTTAGTTTATGAAGTTTTGGAGCACTTTTATTTTGAAATAATTGAAATGTCAAACGAGTCATTTGAAACCGAGATTCAAGCGGCCCGCCAAATATTAGTTCAATGACTACACCGCTATGGCAGCACCGTCGGAAATGTCACTGGGCGACTATAGGTCTGTTCCCACAGGAGTCTCTGACAGTTTGCAACCTGTCAGAAACAATCGCTCAGCTGAGTTACAGATTTATCTCGTGACGACAGCATTGAAAACATGTATGGGCGATGCTTACTGACAGTTTGCAAACTGTCAAAGACTCCTGTGGGAACAGACCTTACAACAGAAGTGAGCGTTCTATATCAAGAATATAAATCACTTTTCTATGGAGCAGTCCATTTGCAATGTTTTTACATGAAAAATTGACCTTTTGTTTGGACGCCATATTGCGGTGCGCGAACATAGTTGCCAAAACAAGAAAACCAAAAACTACTAGCGGGCTGTCAACTAGATATTTTATTATTTCTATTCTGCCCAAAACAAGCTAAAATTGATGGCTTTTCTTTCCAAAAATATTCGTAATAGGCGGCAAATTTAAATTTTAAATGTAATTTATTCACTAACTTTGGATTTTCAAGTTGACAGAACGCTAGTAACTTTTTTTTCTACTGTTGGCAGCTATGTTCGCGCACCGCAATATGGCGTCCAAACAAAAGGTCAATTGAACATTAAAAACAAAAGTTACTGAATAAATTAGATTTAAAATTTGAATTTGCCGCCTATTACGAATGTTTTTGGAAAGAAAAGCCATCAATTTTAGCTTGTATTGGGCAGAATAGAAATAATAGAATATCTACATATTTACTTTCATCAATCAGACAGAGAAAGTAAACAAACAAAAAGGATAGCAAGGATCAATCATTTAGTTACTTTTGTAGAAAAAGTAAAAAGAAAAAAAAAAAAGAGAAAGTAACGATGGAGTCAAAAATAAAAATTTTAGGTTAAAGTGAATAGTGGGGTTAGAATTTACTGCTCGTTTTTCAAATCTCGCTTTGAACATAAATGGAACGTTTTTCTCTATTCAATAGGTTTATAATGACGAGAAATACCATAATTACTTGTATATCAACCAATAAGGAAGAGAAAAAAATGAAAAATATAGATTTCAAATTTAAGTGAGTTCGTGTTCGGAGTTACATAGCTCTGGAACTATTCGTTCGGAATAACTTCCACAAAAGAACGTTTTCTTGAATCCAAGTGTTTCATGTTTGGACTTGATTCACAAGCCTTAGGTAGTGAATTAAGGCTTTATAGTCCAGGAGGTGGCACCAAAAACATGCAAGAGTTTTCGCAAGGCGGATATTTTCAAAATAGGTCGTACTTTAGTGCTAGAATGCTAGTGTACAGTCAGCACTCACAGTTCCGGGACAGCTGGCTCTGGGACGCGGGCAAAGTTGTAATTTTAAGAAGCATCTAAACTGTTTTCTCAAAGTTCAAAATTTATAGAAATTTTGCACATTATCTGTTTGAAGGTCACAGATAACGTATGTAAATCGTCAGACGTCTAGTTCGTTGCAATAAGGGGGTCAGACGTCCTCAAAGTTCTTATTTTATGGCATTTTCTTCGGTGTCCTGTCAAAATATATTTTTGCAGGTATTTGACAAATATATTTGAAGAAAATGCCATAAAATAAGAACTTTGAGGACGTCTGACACCCTTTTTGCAACGAACTAGACGTCTGACGATTTACATACGTTATCTGTGACCTTCAAACAGATAATGTGCAAAATTTCTATAAATTTTGAACTTTGAGAAAACAGTTTAGATGCTTCTTAAAATTACAACTTTGCCCGCGTCCCAGAGCCAGCTGTCCCGGAACTGTGAGTGCTGACTGTACACTAGCATTCTAGCACTAAAGTACGACCTATTTTGAAAATATCCGCCTTGCGAAAACTCTTGCATGTTTTTGACGCCAGCTCCCCAACTATTAGGGGATAAGCTGGAAGCACACCTAGGAGAAGCTCCGGAACAGCTCCGGGGCGTTAAGCGCTATTCCTTTCGAAAAGTGTTTGTTCACGCATCTGTTCCTTTCAAATCGGGGGCGACTAACACCGGAGTGAGTAGCTCGAATGCTTTATTATAAAACTCTTGAAAGGAATACGAACTTATAAAAAACACGTCGCTTAAAGAGTCGCTCGGAGCAGGGACCCGGACCGAAATGATATTGAACCGAAAACCGGAACAGAACCGCTTTTTTTTTTTTTTTTGCGGACCGGAACTGGAACAAAACACCCATATTTCATAGATATGTTGTAAGGCAGGCAGAACCGGAACCGATATAAATTAATCGGTTTACCGGTATTTTTTGGTTCCAAGATTTCATAAATTAGGCTCTTAGCTGTTTGGTCGTATCGTCGGATAGTAATAAATTAAACACTCTAATGGCCGTTTCCACCAATTATTTTAGGGAAGCCTCATTGATGAATATTCCCTAAACTAACAGTTTTCCATGGAGAAATGTCAGTTTAGGGAATACTTGTCCGAGCTTCTCTAAAATAGTTGGTGGAAACGGCAATAAGTGTCGGTACTTTTGCTCTCATTTGACAGCCGTTAAAAATAATCAGGAGTTTGAATGTGCTCTAATCATACTTATAGACCTTGGCCTATGCAAAACTTTGACGACTTATCGGTTAAGTTGGGTTAAACTTCAATGAATATTGGATTAATTCGTTAATCGAGAGCAAAAGTATCGGCCCTAAACAGAGCTGCTTTCGGGTGTCACCCTTTGAGCGCTCTCGAGTTACTCCGAAGTACTCCGGCTACAGTTTGACCCGTTCGGCTTTAAGCGTTCGAGTGCAAAACGCATGGAGTATGACAGGTGCGAAGTGTTCTAGGAGCTTCGCACTCTGCACCCGAAAGCGGTTCAGAGCCAAGGGGAATACGCACTCTAAGGAGTTGTTTGATGTTTTTTTTTGTCTGTTTCTTATACAAGCTGATAGAGAAATGACACGATTACACTAAGTGCGAAGCGCACTAATAGAATTCGCTATAAGTCAAGACACACTGTCAACGTCATCACTGGTACCTTGGCCTGGGAGTAGTGTGTAGTGCTTGGGATTTTAATAATAATAATATATAATATTTCAAATAATAAATAAAGCTAAAAAATACAAACTGTAATTAACTCATCGAGAGCACAACAATAGACCTATCTATTTTACCAGACGAAGAGGTAATAATACGAAAACTTTATTAGATAGAAAAAGACGCAGAACGCTTATTGCGCAAGACGAGGCAAAACGTACCAAATTATGTTAAACTTATTACGTATAGCAATCCGTTCTTATTATTTGCACGGGATAAAAAAGGAGGGAGAAAAACCGCGTGATGTGCAAAGTATTTGTCAATCAAAAACACAAAGAATTGAAAATCGATCACTTGTCAAGCTACGTCAAGTTGAATATCAAGCATAATTTTATCCTTGTCAGACCACGGCCAATGAACAAGGACAAGGAGATGCCCAGCGTGCAAAACGAACACCTCTCACCTGTACTAGTTAACCAATAGAAAGGCATTGCCTCGTGTTGCGCGCGCATACAGGTAAAAATAGATAGGTCTATTTATTATCACTAATAATTATTATTTTTATTGAGGTTGTTGCAGATAGGCAGAGAAATCCAATGAAAAATATTGTGAAAAACTATACCGGTATGAACCGTTAAGACCGAAATTATTGGTCAAAACCGAATCGAAATATTTCTCTTAGAATCGGTACCGTAACGGAATCGATATTTGTCTTGAAGCTGTGTACCGGAACCGGAACGGAACCGATATTTCATTTCGGTCTGGGTCCCTGGCTCGGAATCACTCGCAGATGTAGAACCTGACACTGACTTTAATGAGTTCGATTCCAGCTGCACTGGCTCTAAGTAATTACGTTTTGAATGAGTTTACCACGAGTTAACCAATTTCAATTGATCTAAATTCATAAATGTTCAAATTTGTTTTATGTTAATAATTTTCTATTATAAACATACGGTTTTTGATATATTTGTTTGTTTGCACTAAAAAACAGAGCAGGCATAGGGGGTAGTGCAAGTTATTAAATTTGAATAGGAAATTAAATAAGTTCTCATAAGAAACTCTCGCACCTCCGAAAATCACGGTTGCAAAACACTCAAACGAATCCGAATACAAATTTATTATCATTACTCCGTTCGGTTTTTTTTTTGTTCCCTTATGACTCGAACACCAATTATTGCACTAAATACAATTTTGTAATTCGTGCTCCGTATGCACTGAGATATTCGATACGTCATTAGACTAATCTTAAAAGTGATGTAGAGTAATCGGATCAGTACCTGCTGCTTTTTATATTTTTTCAGTCGTATGTGTTAGAGAAAGACAACAAATAATCAGCTTGTAGTAGGATCAAATTACAGTAGCTCTGTTCCAACGGACATGAGAACCGTTCTAGAACGGTAATTTTCAACCGATCAATTCATTTATCGAGTAGGATAAACGTTCAACTTATTGGAAAATAGGTGGGCAACTGAAAATTACTGGTTCTGGAACGGTTTTCATGTCGGTGGGAACAGAGCTAATGAGTTCTCAAATAAATCTTTTGGCTGTGGCAACTGGCAACATCGTAATTATTTTTAACTATTGAGTACACTCACTACAATGCAATCCACCCACAAAAATCCACCCACGTAGTACCATGACTAGTTTTCCCTGTTTTCCAGTATTTTCCTCTTTTCCAGTTCTGAGTTTCAATAATAATAATTTTCGTTAGCTGTATTTATGTTATGGTAAGTATGTTTACTGTTTTTAAATTCAACAAACACTGAAAAATGCTTCCAACACAGTTTCGGAGCGTTTTTGATTGGTGCAAATCGCCGAAAAACATATTTCTGACCATTATCAACCAATGAAATTAGCTCTGATTGGTTTGTGATGAAGAGAACAGCCCTGTTCGGGTTTAAAAAAGGGACGGTTTTAGAACGGTTCAAAACAATCGCATAGTTTATCAACCAATAAAAATGACAACGGCTCGCTATCACAAATTTCAATATTAAACTGTGTGATTGTTTTGGACCGTTCCAGATCCCCCTGGGGGCTCCTAGATCTGTTTCCTAAATTTGATTGGGCCCTAACCTCAAACAACAAACTTTACCAAGGAGCCACCCACTTTTTTCAAGAAAAATCTTCGATTTTTAATTACTAACCAGGGTTGACAATTTGTGAGTAATTACTCCCATTTGTGAGAATTTTACCAGTCTATAAGTAATTTTGTGGATAAGTAATCGAGTGGTCAGCTACTTATTGGTGATTGTACCTACTTAGTTAATAAAAATTCAGACCTGCTAATTTATTAAAACGTTTTAAGTTATGAAAATCTTAATATTTTAGCTAATTTTTCAAAGTTATTTTTACAGGGTCAATAAAATGTACTTCATTGTTCCCCAAGGAGAATACATACTCTAAGGAGTGCTTATCGGCCTTGTTTTTGTTAATCGCTGCTATATTGGTGTGATATCGGGTCTTGAAAAAAAAACCAATCAAAGATTGCTATGGGTTTTTAAACGTCATAACTAAGTCGTCAGCTGTTTAAACAGCTTACGTCAAGGCGAGAAATAACATGCTGCCTAGGTCACAACTGGTATTTTGGCGTGGGGGGATTTGTTACACACAGGTCTTATGAGGATAGGCCATCCTGTAGTAGTAGTGTGTATCATCCTTGATTGTTCCCTACCTAAGGGATTTTTGGGAATGCCTGATTCACTGGGTGGTATTTGCAATGTTGCCAAGTTTACCGTTTCTGAGATACCGTATGTAACTTTTCTTGAATGAAAGTTCCAAGTCCCTCTTTATTTTATTGTTATTAATTCAGCGTTCCAGCATTACTAAAACCCCAATGTCAAACCTCTATTTGACTTGGTTTTTGAAATATGGTGGCAACAAAGCTTTTTTCTTGAAATGAATGGAAACGGTCTCATATTTCTGACTAGAGGTTTTAGAAAAATGTAAAATCGATTTGCCAACGTTTAACCGAGTTATGTGATGTAGGTACCATACTCAAGGGCCGAACTTATAGTGCCTCCTTGAGGTTTCCTTAGACCTTAAGTTAAGAAAGCCTTGAACGTTTAGAATTGAAATGACTAACTTGTCAAATAGTAGCAAATAAACGACAATAAATTCGGCCCTAAACGAATCAAAATCGTTTCTGAAAGGACTGAAAGGTCAAAATGTTGATAGGTCTGTTTCTGCAGGAATCACAAACCAGTCAGAGTGAATTTCATTAGTTGCAACCAATGAACTATAAACTACACGTATCTGGAATGGCACCGACCGTTGTCGGATATGGAATTTGTATGGCATTTGTCATCTCGCTTAGTGCGTCCAAAAAAGCTACATAGTGGGGTATCCCTTTCTCTCTCCAGTTCATTGCTGTTAGGTTTGGCATATTCCTAACCTCGAATAAAATATTTTTTAGTCAAGGAAAGATTTCCATGATTCGCCAATAAGATAAATAGAGATGTGTGTACCCCACATTCTCCATCTCAATCTGCCGCAAATTTATAGATCGGCGGGCCATTCCAGGTACGTGTAGTTTATAGTTCATTAGTTGCAACTAGTTGAAATATCAATCCGTAACAATTTGGCAACCAAATTGGAGGGGATACACCGGTGGTGGATTGCTCTCCTAAAGTGTGTTTTTTTTTTTAAAGAAAAGTCAAAATGACATTATGTTGGCAATACAATGTAAAATTGCCAAGCTTTCAAATTTTTTATGTAGAAAAGGATTGTGTTGCCAACATAGTTACTAAATTTTTGACTTGGGGAATTATCTTTAACTGGTAAAAAGCCGATAGATGTTGGCGACACAAAATTTTGTTTACTGTAATGTCTATCAGCATATCTGTGTTAATATGTCATTGGTCCAGACGAATAACTTGAAGTACATGGGAATTTTGAAAACCATTGAAGATACAGGATGGGCTAAATGGGGAAAAAGTTTGGGATTCAAGTGCCTACAAATAATCTGTCATCAACTTCTTTGAACTCGGAATACCAACGGATATTCAGGACATTTTTATATAATCCTGTCTATCTTGATTATTTTTTGCCTTGTATATCCGTTGCTATTCCGAGTTCAAAGAAGTTGATGACATATTATTTGTGGGTATTTGAATGCGCAACTTTTCCCCCATTTGTTCCACCCTGTATCCATCCACAATGTGAAATCAGGAAAACAATGTCGATTCGATTATTGAAAAACATACAGGTGTTCCATTCAAAGAAATACAAGTTGTGTTCTGGTAAATCTCCATTTACTTACTTTGTATTTATTTATTTTTTTCTCTTGCTTCATAAGCGATACATATACATGCTGTCAAAATATATAGAACAACCCTGAACATTCCAATAAGTCCACCACCAATATCTGCCCTATCAGACAAGACTTCTATACTTACCAAGTTTAATCTTAAAATTAAATAGAAGCAATATAGGTATACTTATACTGTTCTTTTTCAGATATCATCATCATGGCTGATGCGACAATTGGCTGCAGATTAGGTGAAGATAAGTGGCTCGTCTCCAATACCCTACCATTCATATTCGAGCACTTGGATACACCCGATTTATTAAGGTGTTCACTAGTTTGTAAATTATGGCACGAAGTAACACAAAATCCAATATGTTGGAAAACTGTGCAATTTAGTAATAATTGTAATGTCAAGATAGACATAAGTGGCTTGCTTTATAATTTAGAGGCACATAAGACGTTGCATTTGAAAATGGAAAAAGACTATTGCGTAAGAAAGGTAAGAGTCAATGTGGTTTTTGTTTTTTGTCTCTAAACATAGATGTTTCAGGATCGTGTGAATCTAACAAGAGCAACAAAACTAAAAACCTTGGAAATTAGACAGTGTTCTACAATGATGCGTGAGGCCTTTCTTCATGCCGCTAGACAGTTGGAGAGCATCAAAATAGAAATGATTCCTGGTGCGGTTTTACATCCATTCAATATAGATTTTCTTGCTGGAATGCCTCATTTACGCGAACTTCGATTAAGCCTCACAACAGAAACTGTCCAAGTCAGAGTCTTTCTATTTGATGTAGGAGATCTCAGAGTTTTATATATATTGAATGTAGAGGATATGTTTCGGGAGAGTACTAAATTTATTAAATTTAAAAGAAATGAGCTTGAAGTTCTAGCATTAGGAAATGTTGGCGATATGACAGAATCTTACATACCTTCTATACTTCAGGCATCTCCCGTTCTTAAAAAGTTGCGCCTTGAATGTTGCTCACGTTGGAACCCACATAATTTTTTCCGAGCTATTGGTCTAATGAAGAACTTGACCTGTTTGGAGCTACTCGATTTTAAAATCAGTGATGGTTTTGAAAATAGTGTGATATTTTGTCCAAACATTGAAGAACTAACTATAATGCCTAGTGTCGATAGATTTTACATGGGCTTACTGAATGCTCGTATACTTATGGCAGCCCAAAATTTGGGTAAAAACATAAAGAAATTTACTTTGGGATTTTCCAAGAGATATTTATTGTACATGTATGATAGGGTGGAGCAAAGAAATGTAATACCTTTACTCCGTTGCTACAGTGGTCCTATTCAGAGGGATCCGATATTTGAATTAAGCATATTGCTAACCATGGTTGAGGTGGAAGCAGAATTGTCCATTTTGATGCCAACTGCTAAGGTACGAGTAATTGAATTGGATTACGTGGGAAATATTTTTAAGTGATTTTTGTGCTGTAAAGTTTACTTTTTTTTTTTAAATTTATACCGAATATATATTTATTTTATTCTAAAGCATTGATTATTATTGATTAGTTGAGATGATGGTTTGTATTATAGAATACTAAGATTTCAAAACAGATCAAGTTTTGCTTATTAACTTGCTGGACCTTTCTAGATATGATCAAGAGCCAAGTTTAATCAAAATTTTGACTATGATTGCGTTCAGGATAATAATCCAACAAATCAAGAGCTGGTAAATCATAATTTGAAGTATATTCAGCCCTTGATTGGATGAATAATTTTCCCAAGGTCAATCAAAAGTTCAAAACAAATCAAGTTTTGCTCATTAGAGGCTCGTAACGTGCTGGACCTTTCTAGATATGATCAAGAGCTGAGTTTAATCAAAATTTTAACTATATAACTGGCTCTTTATTGCGTTCAGGCAAATCATCCAACAAATCGAGAGCTGGTAAATCATAATTTGAAGTATAAAATGACCATTAATGCCTATCATATTTACTTATTCGAGTAAAGTTGGATCAAATCGCTACATATAGGTAGCTCACAGAAATACTCATGCTTTCTGTGGTAAATTAATCTATTATATGTAACCGAAAAAACTAAACTCATCATATTTTGCAGGAAGAAAGGAACCATAGTATTGTAAAAAAATATATATTACCTACTAAAAGAAAACACTATTACACTTCACATGCTCCCTTAGCCGTAATGCTTACAGTTCCTCTTATATCAGTAATTTGTCCATAATTGAATTCCCCAAACTTAAACAAACAAAAATTATTTTAATGTTTTTCTATTTATTAATAGTTGTATTACCTCATTTTCTTGCTTCCTACTTTGTTCGTAATACTGAACTTTATCCTCAGTATAAGCCCTATGATTAGATCCAACCTGTGATAAGAGCAATGGCGTAGATTCCGAACTGTCGTCATCGCTTTCAATATTTCTCCATGATTCACTTATGCCACTGTCTGTTCCAAATTCACTATCGTGCCATGTGGATTTGAAAAGGAAAAAAAAGAACGTGATAATACCCTAAAAAAAATCGAATTTCAGTGTTTAATGATGAATACAAAATATTTACCATAAAAAAGGTGCCAGCTGCCATAACAGTAGAAGACAAAGGAAATCCGTAATACTGCAAAAGAAATCCTCCTAGAGCAGGCCCGACCACTTCTCCTAGTGAATACATGCTAGACCATATACCAGCTACCACGCTATAAGTTGCCATTGAATCGCTACATCCACCATGTCTGTAGAAAATCGAAATATATTTTGCCTTCTATTGAATTTGGTACTTACATGGCACTATTCAAAACACCTTGGAATGTTGGCATTAGAGCTAGAGCCACTGAGATTCCCAGTATCGACAGAGCGACAAGATTGAGCCATAGAGAGCTTTGGATGCCGGGTATAAAGGGACAAGGACCCAGCAATAGCAAACCGATGGTGGACAGAAAAAGACCGGCGACCATCATCGACCAATGATTATTGACTTTGTCAGCTAACCAACCCCATGCTGGACTGGAAATTCCGTAGAGGCCGGAGAACAGTAGGAATATTAGACCGATTTTTTCTGGTGTCAGATCAAACTAGAATTTGTTTGTAAAGTATTAGAAATTTTATTGTACCTAGTGTTTTGATGATTGGATTTTGTTTGATTCATTTATCTGGATGCTGCATAATAAAACTCTTTATTGTTGGTTTGATTTTCGTTGTTCAATAATGTGATACTGGTAGGTATTTGAATAAAGATAAACTTCAAAATAAATAGGGTATGGTGAGATGGAGAGAAGAAGCAAAAATATCGGAAATGGCTAACAACAAAAAATGGACAAGACCTTTATAAAGTTTATAAAGACACAAAAAGACAACTAAGAACGTGCATGGGATGAGAAATCTGAAAAAATTAACACCTAATACATAGGAGGAATAGGGAAATGCTTAGAGGTACCTATGGAGATTTGTATCAAATTAGATTATTAAACCAGAGCAATGGATAGAACACTATAAGGGTCTATGACAAGAAAGTAGACTGGAATATATATTAGATTCTTCAAGACATTTTGAAGTACATGGAAAAGTAGTTGAGATTTTTGAAGAAACAGTAAAAAAGACTGCTGAGAATCTCAAGTCAGGTAAAGCTACCGGCCCAGAAGGGATATACATAGCTCGAAATGGGGAACTGAGAAGCTCTTTAAAGGTCTCACATGTAACATCAAAGATATCTGGAAAACTTCTTTCATATCATCCATTCACAAAAAAGGAAATAAGCTGGACTGCAATAACTATCGAAGCATATCAGTCACAAGCACATTAAGCAGACTATACGGTAGAATCCTGCGTGATCTCATTGAAGAAAATTATAAATAGAAAGAAGAGCAGTGCGGCTTAAGAGCAAGAAGATTAGGTACAGACAACGTATTTTGCCTAAAACAAGTCATAGAAAACAGATCTGCTAGACATTTAGAAGCCCACCTCACATTTGTGGACCTACAAAAAGCATACGATACAGTCCCAGTATCAATCAATCACACCTATATAACAGACACTTAAAGAACTATATAAAAATGCAAAATTAGGAATTAAGAGGTAAAAAACTCACAGACACATTTATAGTGAATTAAGGACTACGTCAAGGATGTTGTATCTCTCCTACCTACGCTTTTCAAAATATACGTAGCAGTAGCACTGAAAAATTGGAAGATCCATGGAATGGGTATAGAGATAAATGATAAGTGGCTGTTTACTCTTCAGTTTGCAGATGATCAGGTCATAGTGCTCAGTGGCCATTGACAAAGAGGACATGCAATATATGATTAGAAAGCTGATGGAAGATTTACCAAAAATGGGGCCTGAGAGTTAATATAAATAAAACAAAATATCTATGTGTAGGCACCCATTAGAACGGAAACTTGGAAGTGGACGATAGTCAGGAAATTCTACAAGGTAAAGAATATGAGAATCTGGAAATCACATTCGACAACACTAGAACAGACGTGAAAGAAATAGAAAGCTAAAACAGTAATAGGATGCCTAAATAGAATCTTAGGGAGCAAGGAAATAACAAAGAAGAGAAAATTCAATATATACGAGACAATGATAAAAAGCAGCCGTCTCTATGGGACCGAGACTTGGAGAATTACAGGCAGACAAAAGAAAAAAGTGGAAGCAGTTGAAATGGATGCTATTAGAAGATCCATGCGAATCTCGTGAAGAGGTTACGCGCATAAGGAACGACAATATAAAACAAAAAATGGGAATAGAAGGCACGATAGTTCAGGACATTGAAATGAAACAACTTACCTTGTACGGACATGTAGAATGAATGCCAAATACCAGGTGTCCCAGAAAAATGCTGCAATGGTCATCAACAGGTAGAAGAAAACGAGGAAGACCAAAACTGGAATGGCAGAAGACCATACAAAAGTCCATGAGTGAAATATAAATATATCAGAGGATTGCGACGATAAAAGAGGATGGAAATTAGGTGACGGACAACGAAGAAAGACGTTCTAAAACGACATATATACATATAAAGATGGAGAGTAGATCTAGCTTACTGCTATATGGTGAGTCTTATAGCGAGAACAACATATTCCTGTTTCATCAGAATTTTTTGCAATGCTGAAATTTGACAATGCAGCAGAAGAAGTTAATACGGTTCTTGAAATAGTTGCTAATGAAACTATAATATCAAAAATCTAGGTAGTTGATGATACTTTTGACTTAGATGAAGGCATTTGTTCTAATTAGAAAAGAATCGAACAAATCTTGCTTTATATAGTGGGCTATATTCCTTCAAAATAATTTATGACTATACAAAATATTGAGGAAAATGGCATTCTATATCTCTTACCTGTCTCAAATGTGGTTCTAGAGTTGGATCCAAAAAAGCCCATGTACTGGAAACAATTACCACTACCATTCCTGTTATAAAAACAGCCGGTACCCTTATCAGCTTGAACACCGTCGTTTTCTTATTGGAAACATTATCAAAATCTGTTTGAAAACAAATCATGATTCAATTAAAAATGATTGAATTACCTATCTAAAATTACCTTCAACTTTGGGTAAAAGCCACATGTTTAATGGTACAATAGCGATCATGGCAACTCCCAAAACGAAGAATGGTAGATCGAAGCCACCTAGCTGTCTAGAAAAATGAAACATGACGAAAGATTTTTTTTTCAAATTAATTTTCTTTGACTGTTTGGGTCCAAGATACATACCGAATACAAAAATCCACCTAATACTGGTCCCGTACTCATACCTAAACCTACAAATGTTTCTAGAATTCCCTAAAAAAAAAAATATTTTAGATTTTTACATTTCAAAATATGGGTATCTACTCACAATAACTGATCCTATATTATTAGGAAACGTATTGACTACAAAAACGTAGCTGGCCGTTGAAAATGCACTGGATCCTAGTGCCTCGAATCCCCTTATCACTAGACATAGTGTTGTGAATAATGTAAAATCTGTTACATATTCTAGCAACCTAAAAAGGAACATTTAATTACATTCTTCTGAGAAACAAAGTGTTCTCACTTACCCAAACAATAAATTACAAGCTCCGGCCATAAACATTCCAAATAAAAATACTAATTTCGCACCAAATCTTGGAAGCTAAAACATACATATTATTATTTGTATATTGATTAGAGTCTAATTCATTTAAGTTGCTTACAATTTTTCCAAATATCGGTGACGATACAAACATGACTAGAGCGTAAAAACTGAAAACGAATCCGGACAGTGTATTGGAAAGCCCCTTTTCCGCTGCCTCTTTCGGGAAAAACGGGGCCATTATGGACATTGAACAAAAACAAAAAAAATCCACTAAAGCCAGCATAGCCAAAGTCATTTTCTGGATTCTAGTGAAACTTTTTATCGCAGAGGGTTGAACGTGCGAATTGGTTCTCAGTAGTCGTTCTTTTATCCTTCTAATTTCTCCAGCAGTATATTCATCTGCTATGTGTGGTAGTGATTTACTCCGATGGTATTTTTTATACGTTTGAGGTCCACTATTATCAGTTGAATCAGATGAAAATGCAATGCTGCTTTGGATAGATGCTTGAATATCTTCTGATACAGCATCTGATTTAAATGGTAAAGCTTCATTCGTTGCCATTGTTCTTTGAACTGGGCAAATATGAAATTTAGTTACATAAAATATCAACAGATGTAAGACTTACATTTTTGCTCATCAATAAAGCAATCACTACAACGTGTCACTGATTATAGAATTTGTACACTGCACGTTTCCTGGGGCTATGGGAAAGAAAAAAGTGATCTTATAGGATGATTTATTCCCGTACAATCACACTATAAGATAAACTAATAGGTTTTATCAGCATCAGCAGTCTATCGTTCAATGATAATGGAATTAAAACAATTTCCATGGATTTTGAGTAAATGTTTGAGTTTATTTACAGGGGCGTACCAGAAAAAAAATGTGCTTCCACTGTTGCAATTTCAACTATCTATATAAATTATTAATAAATATCACACTTCACGTGTGTTGCAATATGAAGATAATATATGCACAGTAGTCAATATTAGTTTTATTAAACATAAGTTTTACTTGCAATCCTAAAATTACTTATATTTCTCTTAGAGGAATATGACCTTAGTAATCTTTAAGTACATACGTAAACAATATAATCTGCGCTCTTTTGTTAGACAAAATATACACACGTGAAGGATAACAAACACTTTATACATTTTATTTATCACAAATCAGGTATTTTGCTACTATAGCGGAGTACTCCTGCAAATAATGAATTATCAAAAACGCTGCTGATATGCATTCGCTCATTGTAGTAGGTAGGTAATTTCCTACTTTGGTCATGAGATCCAAATACCTACCTATATTTTTGTATAAAACATAATTTTTGTCCTGATTATTTTCCAAGGATTATCTTGATAGGTAGGTACTTGGTACGCTTACCTAGTTTCCTTGTTTAGATATCCAATTGATAAACGACCAAAAATGTCTAATATTTCTATGAATCACAAATTAGGAAAGTTTGAAGTAAGCTTATAATAATTCACAAAGTGTATCTATTTGTGATGGACATAATCAGAACCGGTATTATATGATTCACTGTTCCTGTTTTTTTTGCACTTCACTACGGATTTTTAAAAAAATATTCTCTCTACATTTACCGATACATATTTTCAAAAAATCTGAACAACAAAGTTGACTTTCCTTACTTCTATAAGAAACATTACTGACAAAACCTTTTATTTTAATTTCGTTATTCTATCAATAATGATTAGGTATATTACTTTGAAGGATTTTAGAGCAAATTGAGTCTACTTAAATTAACAAACTTTACATCAACCTTCAAATACAACAAAGTTACTATCCTTTGTTTTGTGTACAAGTAGGTTACATTAGGTACCTACAGCCAATAAATAATAAAAGATGATTTATTTATTTATGCAGAAAACGATCAATCATAAGGTACATGCATTATTTGCAGAGATGCACAATAATATAAAATAATGAGAAATAGATTTTTAAAATTCTCTTTGCAGCTACAAAATCCGTCATCATCAGCCCATGACCTGCAGATTCTCAGACTCATCAATTGTAAACAGGAATTTTTTCAGTCAGAAAAGTCGCTGTTTGAGATGAAAAGCAAACAATCAAATAGTAATTATGCGTTGACAAATTTTACAAATATAGCGAGAGATTTATTTGCTCGAGACGTACGTGCAGGTATTTGTTAAGATTGTATTACCAAACGATTGGGAAGTCAATATTCTTTGAGAGATTTTTCATGTATATTATCGAAAGTGCATAAAAAGTATTACATATTTGATATCTGCCATTTAAGGACACGTGATTGAGTACGTAATAGTTTGTCACGTTATGCACCTACCTTTGTTTCTTTGATATGAATTGTATTTGCTTGAACTACAAATTAATGTTTGATGAATGAATTAACTTAAGATTCAAATCGTAAAATCTATATGAGATTATCAACGAAAGGAAACACTATCATGAAATCTTTAACCAAATAAGATATTTGATGAATAGCGAGTGTGAACGAAAAATATTTTTAGGACTAAAAAGCGAAAGTACCTACCTAATCAACATATAGCATATTATTAGATTGTAACATTTCCTGATAATGTCTGATAATAGGTAGTTATTTATACACCAAGTGAGTTAAATTAATGTTTATTCTTGAGAAGAAAGTTTAACCCACGAGCCCTAGCAAGTGGGTTGATTTTCTTCGAATAAATAAACATTTTAACTCACGTGATGTACCTATACAAAATTTTATCCCATTTTGATGGACATTTAAAAAAGTAAGTACTTAATAGGAATCAAACTATAAAAAGAATTCATTCAGCGAGCGCTAATGTCTAATGCCACCTAATGCCTATGGAAACTGGTAGTTTCTAGGGTATAGCTAGTTGTTTGTTTGTATTTGTAGCAGAGTACTGAGAGTGACTTAAAAAACCGAGAGTAAGTTAAAAATATTTTTATTTCCTACTGAACTATTATAACCATATAATACCTTGGTTACGATAATCATAAACAGGGTCTTAACTCCCAAGGGAGTTAAGGATTTCATAACTCCTAAGGGAGTTAGGGATTTCCATAACTCCCGCTTTTACCTTGAATAGGTGAAACTTTGACAAAAAATAGAAATTTTGATTTATGGTTTATTTCTTTATAAAAATGGACAAAATACAGTAAATTCAGTAGAAAATAAAATTATCTAGGTATGTACCACGGGAATTATGAGGGTGTTAAATACCCCAGGGCAAAGTTTGTGTCCCGAGGGCCTTCGGCACGAGGGACACCAATTGCCCATACATAAATAACTATAAATCACTCAGGTGATAAACGTCTACTTACCTTTGTTATTATGCGTTAAATAAATGGATAAATGGATAAAATAATAAACACATTTGACAAACAGTGGTGCAAATCTGTTCGCTCTTTTACAGTTTCACAATTATTCCCAAAGCTTTAAAAGCCTCTGAATATTCAATAGAATCGCCGAAGATTCCAGTTTCTAAGGCATCCTGATTTGAAGCTCTTGAAACTCTATGAAAAACTCAAAGACTTAAAAGTTTTTTGAGAATCATCACTCGAAACTCTAAACAGGCTCTAAAGACAGAACCACAGAATATATAGGTAGGTAGGTACCCAATATATTCTGTCAAAGAACACTCAAGGCTTTTGAGAGGTTGAGCAATCTGAATAAAATCAAATTTTAATTTTAATTAGTAGAAAATCTAATTAACGGAGCTGTGAGGCAAAAACTGTTTCAGTGTCCTTATTTGGAAAATAAAAAGTAAAACTGTTAAAGCTAAATTGAAATTGAATTGAAAAAACACCCTGTTTCTGGCAACCCCCTTAAACTTCCCTGTTAGTATGAATCTAATCCCATGTACAGTTTTTGAATAATTGTCATCTGATTATATAATTTTGTGTATTTTCATATAAATCTACATTCGTTGGTCGATCGAATGTACGCCACTGGTGTCACCCTGTTCCTTACAACCCCTTTAACTTTCCCCATTAGTATGAATTAAATCCCATGTGAAGTTTTTGAATAATTGTCATCTGATTATATAATTTTGTATATTCTGTATATATTGGACTCTTCTTGCGATAAAATTGTGTGAATTTTCTATTTTCCAATATTCCTGACGTGCTTTTTTCGTCTGAATCTCTGCGGGACTAGCAGCGAGTTCCGCAGCAATTTACTCATTAATGACACAATCAAGTACGACTCTCATCTGAAAGTGAGTGAATTTTTGAACTAATAAGTCTTCACTCATTCAGTTCATTGAACATTAATGAGTAAATCAGAGTAATGAATGAAATTCACTCACTTCTGAACCTCTGCGGGACGAGCAAACCGAGCTCTGCAACAATATATTCATCATAAAACTATTTTATTCCAAGTGAAAAATTGACTTCAAAATCAGCGAATTTCATTCATTCCGCAGCAATTTAGTCATTAATGAGTCATTTGAAAACTATTTCTAATCTGAAAGTAAGTGAGTTTTTCAACGATTAAGTGAAGGGATCTTTTGATTTTTAAAAACTTTGAAAAATAATAATTCTGTTATAGATACAAAGCCTGCAAAGCCTGTATCTTGACTTAAAACCGTTCAAGAAAAGACTCTAAGATTTTTAAAAAACCTCAATTTCACTCGAGGCTCAAGAATGAAGATTTTTGAGAATAAGCACTTAAGAGTATCTAAGGAATTAGAAGATTCTATAAGCTTTAATTGTTCACGATTTTAGAATATTAGAATTTAGACTTTAAGAGAAAGAGCCTCGTGACACAACATGGAAAACCAACCAAAGCTTTCCAAGACTCTAAAGTCTAATTTTTCAAGATTCTATAACGTACACTCTAAAGACGATTCAAGACCCAAAACTGAAGCCTGTGGAAATTGTAAAAAAGCCCAAAAATTTCAATAATCCCGGATTCTAAATAAGCCCTTGAATATTCGAATTATTCTAATTTGATTCCGAGTAGGTACTCATCTACTCTGTAGCAAGATTCTAGATTCAAGACCTAAGACTTCAAAGAATCTAAGGCTTTTGACTTAAAGCTTTTGAAGATCTTGAAGAGTTCGATCAACACATTGCATGCCGCGCCGCGTCGGGCATATAACTGCCGAACAGTGATGTTTCCATTCAGGCCACGTCGGACATACAGGGTGACAATTTGGAAAGTAGCGAGCGGGAATATCTTAGACAAAAAATAGGAGGGGGAACCAAAGTGAAGCACTTTTTGAGTCACCCCGCCTCCCCTATTAGAGGGTAGCTACCCTAACTTATCTTTTTCAAATAAGAACATACCTTGTGTTGTAGGTACATCGTTGAATCTCAAATTTTACGATTGTTGGCTCTTGAATTGTTTATTTCTAAATATCTCTACATAAAGAAAATTCAAGAGCCTGGAATAGAAACAACATATACAGAGTGTCAATTTGAAAACTTCCCACCCCTATTATCTCGGAGCAGAAACATTTTCGAAAAAATCCTTGAAACATGTCAACTTTAATTTGAAGGGGATGAGTTTTTATGCAAAATTCACCTTTCCTCTTTCAACACCGCAGCCCCCAGAGCCAACCCCTAGAAAATTTTAAATGGGAAGGGGGGTCAAGTGATACATCATTTTGGAGGGTTTTTAATTCCATACATTTAAGTATGAAAATTCAATTCCTAAGCTCAACTGTTTTGGAAACATTGACAGTTGAAAATTGACTTTTTTGCAACTTTGACAAGCTAAACGGTTTATTTTAGAGGAAAACCCGATTTTACATTCTTGTCTTAGATTTTTATAAACTATCATTTGACAGCAACTTCGAATTTAATCCACGATTAAAAATTCCGGTTGAAAATTTAATCTCCGGTTAAATTCAAAAATGGTGTCAAATGATAGTTTATGAAAATCTAAGATAAGAATGTACGATCGGTTTTCCTCTAAAGTAAACCGTTTAGGTTTTACAGCCTGTCAAAGTAGCAAAAAGGTCAATGTTCAACTGTCAATATTTCCAAAACAGTTGAACTTAGGGATTAAAATTTGGTACCAAAATGTATGGAATTGAAAACCCTGTAAAATAATGTATCACTTAACCCCCTTTTTAATTTAAAATTTTCTAGGGGGTAGCTCTGGGGGCTGGGGGGTTGAAAGGGGGGAGGTGAATTTTGCATAAAAACTCATCCCCCCTCAAATTATATTTGACGTGTTTCAGGGATTTTTTCGAAAATTTTTCTACTCCGAGATAATAGGGGTGGGAAGTTTTCGAATTGACACCTTGTAGGTATTAATGGGTAGTTGCACCAACAATTTCTGATCTTGGTTTAACATTAATCTTGGTTTAAATCAAAGAAATCCATTGCACCGTTTCTTGAACAAAGTTTAATTTGATTTGAACTTGGTTCAACTTAAACGGTCATGTTTGATGGTTTAAAGGGAAGTTTTACTAATTGAATGCGTAGAAAGGAAATTCGCAAAGTGAAATGACATGCCGTCTGTCGTTGTTTACGGCATATGTTCATGTTGTGAGAATTTCATTATTTATTATTATGTAGGTAGATATTTGATTTTTAAATTCAATAATCAATCTCGATCGAAATATCTGTGCAAAATAGAATAGACGGCAATGAAAAACAAGACACTTGGAAGGAAATAATACAGAAGTATAACAGTGCAGGGCCTTCTTGTCCAAGAGCTGTAGAATGTTTGAAACTTTGCTAGCTACGAAAATAGAGAAAACTATAGAGAGAATCAGTTTTTTTTTTTTTTTTTTAATAATGATCTTGTATTTTGCCATAATATTAATTAGTATAGTAGGAGAGCTTTATCGTTGTTGGTAAAATTGGCTCATCTCTGTTTCACTTGTGCTATTAGTGGATCTATTTTTTCAAATGAAGCGAATTAGCAGAAAAAAACTACAAAATACAAAGGGTTCAGACACTGCTTCGATTCGGAAAAACTTACAAAAAATAATTCGCTTTCTAGGTTATATTTTCTATTTTTGCTTTCACATTTGACAAATTTTCAACATGTTTGCCAACCTAAACGTAAAAAATCCTATAAATTACTAGTTTAATCAAACCGAGCTTAGTTGTGTGCCATGCAACGTCAGGTCGAATGATCGAGGTTTATTTTTGAATCCCAGTTTTATTAAGCTTAGATTAATGGAATCTTGGTGCAACTAGCCATAAGTCTTCTTATCTACTACATTTTCCCTTAATGCCTGCCTTTCAATTCTCAATTTTTTGTCTATTCATGGCTCTTCAACAGCCTCTTAGGTAATACATGTAAGAGCCGGCTTATTCACTTTCTAATAAACTGTCAGGCAAGCTGTCAGATAATGCAATCTGACGGATAAAAACGAAATATGTTGAGGTTGAGAATGATTTGAAGTGTTTTGATGTGAAACAACTTCCTTGATCCGACATTAAATTCTTTGGTGTTCCATAAGTCGCAAAAATATCCCGGAAATATTCTATTACATATTTGGATTTTGTTCATTTGACAGCACGTAGAAAGGTAAACTTCGTGAATGCATCAATACCAACTATTAGATAACTGTTCAGTTTCTTGGTTTTAGGAAAAATACCTCAGTGGTCAACGTGAAATGTACCCAGAGGTTGAATTCCTTTTGGAATCGGATGTTGAAATCCTTCGTGTTTTCCCGAGTTTCGTTTGTTAAACAGACATGAAATACAAGAAGAAATGTATTTGTCCATATAATTACGCATTCGAGGGAACCAATAACTCCGTACCAAAGTGACCAAAATCATCATGCGCAGTCTTAACAACTCTCTGACGCATGACGCATGCCTTGTGGTACTACCCATGAAATACCACATGCTGTGATTCTGTATATTCGTCCGTCTCGCAGGCAATAGTTTTTGTAAATACTTTTCTCCTAATCGGTAGTCGGTTGTTTTGATGAAACTTTATGTATCTCTTTGATTTTATCGTCAGTTAGTTGCCCTGAAAGTACCCGATCGGCCTCTTTTATATGAAGCGCAACTTCGCACTCCGTAAGATCTTCTGGAAATGCGGCTTAACGCATCTACATGATTCATCCTATTTCCAGGCCTGTATTGAACGTCAAAACTAAACTCTTGGAGCTCTAACCACCATCTGGCAATTCGTGGAATTAAGTTTTTCTTTTTTGCTTGTCGCTTTTAGTGAGTTGCAGTCAGTTATCACAGTGAACGAAATTCCTAATAAATAACTTCTGAACTTTTTCAAAAGGGTGATATTTTTGCGTCACTTCTGCGTCTGTCTGCTGTAAAATCCAACTGGATGCAACCGATCCTCATGTTTTTGCAATAAGATTCCTGCCAATCCTAACTGACTAGCATCGCGTCGGTATGTAGTTCAGTGTTCAGTAACCGCGTTTGGATCAAACAATTTTAGGATAGGTCTCGTTATCAACTTTCTTCGAAGTTGCTCAAAAGCGTTGCTCTCTTTATCACCCCATTTCCATTGTACACTTTTCTTTGTAAGATTTAGTAAAGGTTTGGGTAGAATGGCATAGTCTTTGACAAAGTGTCTAAAATAGCCTGTAAGTCTCAAGAACTGGCGAATATTATGGACTGATCTAGGTGTTGCAAAACTCTGGACAGCTTTAATTTTATCACTGCCTGGTCTCACTGTTCCTCACTCGATTTCAAATCCAAGTTACGGAAGTTTTTAGAAAAGAACATTTTGATAAATTGAGAGTCAATCCTTCTTCTCTAAATATAATTAGCGCTTCGCGTAACGCCTTCAGTGTATCATCAACTGTTTTTCCAAACAAAAGGACATCATCTAAATATAACGCCAATTTTTCTCTGATTGGTTTGATAATTTTAATCATTAGTCTTTGAAATACCCTGGGAGCATTTGATAGTCCAAAAGGTACCCTATTGTACTCATAGTGACCTTCCGGCGTTACGAAACCTGGGTTATGTTTAGACGACTCTTCTATTGGGATTTGATGATAACCGGACTTTAAATCTAAACTGATGAAATAATTGGCGCCTCGTAGCTTATCGATCTGTTCATCTATTCGTGGTAGAGGATAGCTATCCTTTACAGTGAGTGAATTTAGTTTGCGGTAGTCTAAGCATAATCTTTGCTCGCCATTTTTCTTTTCCACCAAAACCACCGGAGATGAATATTCGGAATCGGATTCCCTTATGATACTATTGACCAGAAGTTCTTCAATAATTTCTTTGACCGTGTTAGGCTCGGTTCTTGCCATTCTGTAAGGTCTATAGGAAAAGGGTTTGTAGTCATGTAGGTTTATTTTCATTGTTGCAGACTTCGCACATCCTAGTTCATTTATTGCTAGGGAAAAACAAGCTCTAAATTCTTCAAGAAGTTCTAGTAATTTCTCTTTCTCATTTTCTCCTATTGGTCCAATCACAATTTCTTCTAAAGGCAATGGCGGTAAATCACTTTCTCTGATTTTCATATCTTCTTCGCGTGATTCCTCTACAGCTCTAAACGGTACTCTTGCAAATATCGTACCTTTCTTTTTGGGCGTACGTTGATGAAGTGTTATGATTGTACTAGGAATACAATGCTCTTGCCCTTCTGGTAGTCTTAAGCTAGACTCAATGAAGACGTGGCTCTCATAGTCATCACTATAGAGTATTTGGCATTAAGGTGGCTGCCGATGATATACGGAGTACAACTTTACGATCAGTCAGATCGGGCTCTAACTCTGGCAAATGAGGAGACAAATTTCTAAATATCTTCAAAGAAACGTCATCTTTAATCATAAGAATATCTTTTTGTTCGGTAAAGTTTCTTCCAAGTAGAATCGGAATCTCTTGTGCCGAATTTGGAACCACATGGGCAGTAATAGTTGCTTCTACTTCATCTATTTTCATGCTAATAACGATCGTCCCAATTGTATTGATGCGTCCATTGCCGTATCCATATAATCTAGTTACATTTATGTTATCGATATCTAAATTTAATCGCTGAGCTTCTTCTAAACATATGATACCACAAGAACTGCCCAAGCCTACATATGCTAAAGGGGGTTTGTTATTTACAGTAACGTATTTGTGAAACTTAGAATTAGAATTTGGCTGATCTAGATCTTGTAGTCATAATATGTTTTGACTGGGTTTCATTGCCTTTTTTTTTGCGAAACACTTATCTTCAGTATGACCAAATTTTCGACAAAACGTGCATCTTTTTTCCAGACTTAATGGAGTCATTTCTTTCTGTGGTCCTCTGACTCTGCAGGTGTTGGCAGTGAGACCCTGTTTGTTACACTTGAAACATTTCACTGTTTTTTTTGAAAAAAGCTTTAGGACTCTGGAACTGTTTACTATTTTTTCTACTGACGTTTCATAATAGCAACTTTTCGATTGTCATTTTAGTTTTGAAATGACATTCTTTTGAGCACTCAGTGCGTAAAAGTGACTTTTAGGCACTCAGTGCGTAAAAGTGACTTTCCAGTGCGTAAAAGTGACTTTCAAATGCGTAAAAGCGACTTTCAAGTGCGTAAAAGTAACTTTTAAGCACTAGTGCCTAAAAGTGTTATTCATTGTTCAGAAATAAAAAACACACTAAATGCAAATTTGAATTTTGTTTTGTATTTATTATGAATATTAGTCACCAACATGAAAGGTGTCAAGCAAAAGCAGGCGACAAACATTGAAATAAAATTGTGTTTTTTTATTATGAAACGTCAGTAGAAAAAATCTTGTATACAATACGTTACGAAACGAAATCTTTTAGTCACTCGACGTGTTGTCCAACTCGGCTTTGCCTCGTTGGACAATTTTCACGTCGCGTGCCTAAAAGACACTCATTTCGCAACTTATTGTATAAATAGCTATTTTTATTGAAAATTTTTTCATTTTGATATCGCTGAATATATGAAATGAGATGGTGCAAAACTTTTTTTGTTGTGTATATTATACCTAATTGATGAATCATCACTGAAGTAGAAACAAAGGGACCATCCATCAGGGTAATGTAAACAAACTATCGTACCTTTCTTTTCTTATCTATTTTTATATTCGTCATTCGGCAGTAGACTATTGTGGAGGAATAAGCTATTAAAAAAATAATTACCTAAGCTAAGAACCTCAACTGCCCTTCAAATCAGAATTTTGGTAAGCTACTTAGTTGAGCATGTTTGGTATTAGATTTTGAGCATTTGACTGTAGATGTTTTTAACAACTCTTCCTCTTAACAATAATTTGAAGTTGCGTTTCACTGATATCCAGGGCAACAAATCATGGTTTGATTATTTCTTTGTTAGGATCAAATTTGTTACACGATTATACTATTAAAGGTAAGTGTAGCAGTGGGGCACTACCGAATACCGGCGAGAAATAGTTGAATTATGATTTGCTGTTGGGTGTCAGTTGTACAACGTGGTTTCAAGTGAATTCAGCCTAATGGGGTTTTAATAGAATAGCTGAATGCTCTTCAACTTTGCCAGGCAAAATTGTTTCTGTGTTTTCCAGATGAAGGGTCAAGTGATCATGTTCTATATTGTAGCTCAAATGAAATGGTCACGCCTCTACAGGGGAATAAAAAACCTTTCAAAGGAGGTAGTTTCTTAGAAAAATCATTAGGGGGCAAGTCTCCAAGACAGGAGGGGTAGGGGTTAAGCAATAAACACATTTGGTTTCTCCGATGTGTATTTGACACTTTTATGACAGAATTCTTTTGTCTAAGAGATAGGTAGTCAAAATTATAAGTAGTTTTAAAAATATACTTATTTTTTCTATTTTGGTGTCATATCGAAGTCTTTTCGACACTAAAAGTAGTTTCGAAAAGAAACTCTTTGTGACACTCCTTTTTTACTTATCGAAGGTTCGTAACACTGGCTGACTGATGGCCATCGAACTGTCATTCGCGATAAAAAATAATAGAAGATTTCTATATTTGGCATGTAGTGAGAATGAAAATGAGAATAAAACTTCCAAGAAAAGTTTTTTTTTTTTTAATTAAACAATACCAAAATAGAAAAAATAGTATAAAATATTCGTTTCATAAGACATTTTATCATACTCGCTCTTTAGAAAACTCGCCTCCGGCTCGTTTTCTAATATAGGGCTCGTGCGATTAAATGACGTCTTATGAAACTTGTTTTTTAATGTACCTACTATTAAAACACCGATATATCAAAAACTGATCGTATAGGTACGATTTAAGATTTTGCTATAAGACTGTAAAAGGATAGCAACGAGCTATCCAACGATGTGCAACACAAGGTAGGTTCGTATTTGAAAAAAATAAGTTAGGCTAGTTCCCCCCAGGAGAGGCTAGGTGAATCAGAAAGTGCCTCATTTTGGTTCCCCCGGTAAGTATTTGTGATCTTCCTGATAGTATTTTTTGTCTAAGGCCTGGTTTATTCATCTTCAGATAAACTTACTGGTATAACTATAATTGGTAGGCGGATAACACTCGTCGACCAATGGGATTACAGATTGCGTTTTTATCCGTCAGATTGCATGCCTGACAGTTTATCAGAAGGTGAATAAACCGGCCCTAAGACATATTCCCGATTGCTACTTCCCAAATTGTCACCCTGTATATGCTTTCAGGGTCTAAAAATTGAAACTCTTTGAAGACTTCAATGCACAAAGAACCTACTTACGCTCTAAAAATTTTCAAGTCACCAAAAATGTAAAATAATTAAATACAAATTATAGTAACTGTATATGATGATTCGATAAAGATTTTCTATATTTCAATAGTATTAAAATATTAAAATATTAAATCATGCCTCACGGTCAATACCAAATTCATACTTAACTCCAGGTTGTTGTGTGTTCTGGGCCCATAACCTGTTCGACTAATTATATAGCTTAAAATATCTGCGACATTTGCGTCATGTTACTCTATAGTAGAAGGTCTCGACATGAATGAAACATAAACTCATGTAAGGACACGTGCTGCATACTTCATCGACTTTTTCTCTATTTCAAATTCTACAAAATTCTGCGTCCTTTTGTAGTTCTGTGATTTTTAGATTTGAACCGCCTATATTGTAGTAGCCAAGAGCTTTCAGGTTTCAGGCGATCGCCTGAAATTCAGACCCTCTAGAATTCCATCCTGCATGCGAACCGACAGTCGAAATCGAGCTTCGACGGTACAAAGAAACTCTCCCGAATATAACGTTCCGCGGCTTTCTGATTGGTCTCCAATCACGTGTACGGCATGCTTTGAATTTCAAACAGCTATAGATGGTAGAACGCTGAAATTTCATTTTCCAGTTTACAGCTGAAATTACGTCTCGGACTGCTATAGAGGGGCCGAAGAGAAAAAATGATTTTTTTGTTGAGAGTTAAAAAAATGTTGAGAAAATAATGGCCATCGGAAAACTATGGATTTCCATCGGTTGTTTTTTTATTTTTGCCGGTTGGTTGGTGGGAATTGGAGAAAGTATCAAATGGCTGTAAGTTCACATTTTATAATTATCACTAAAAATGTTTCAAAATCTAAAAGTTAAAATAGAAAATTTCAACTTTTCTTCTGCCTTATTAGTCAGATAAAAATCTGAAAAGAAATTTGCATGGTTCAAAAACATTACATAAAAATTTATAAAACTTGAAATTCAATAATAATTCTGCTTGTGTTATGTTCCGATTTTTTTATTGCACATTGTGCAATGTATAGTTTTAATCAAAATTCTCCGTATAGGTGCTATAAAAAAACCACGAAAAGTAATAATTTTTCATTGTACTGATTATATTTACCCTTGACTTAAGTCGTTAAATAAGCCACAAACTGTAGAGAGAACTTAAAAATGGGTCAAAAGTCATCATAAATATTCGTTCATTACATCAATCAAGCTTAATTAATAACCAATTGATAGTCATAGGAAGGAAATATTAGATTTATGATTTATGACCGCATTCATTCGAAATAGATGCTTAATTGCAGAAGCTCTAATGAGCTGTTCATACCTTTTCTATAATTTATTGCAACTTTACTACTTTGAACTTCTGATGTTGTGTAGGAGAAAGCAAATTGCTCTAGGGCTCTATACAAATTTTATTGTGTCCATTAAAGGCTTTTTCTAGTATTGTCAAAATTTTTATGAGATGTTATCACATATGGAGTCTTTAATGGACGTATAAAGCTTTTAACGCTTCTTTTATATGGAATTAACTAAATAGATAATGGAATAAGGAATTTTAATTAATATACACAATAAAATATGTGACTTTTATTTTCTCTCACAGACAAAAATAGGGTCCATAAATAATCGAAAAAAAATGGTGCTGCAAGGCGCCCAGTCGGCACCTAATAATATCCGATCCGCCCCTGTAATTATGCGGGGCGCCCCTTTTGATTTACCTGACTGATTATATACGGTTGAGAGTTTTCGCGTCTACGACACTGATTTTGATTTGTAACTGAGATGTTGGGGTAATCAAATACTTACGTGACTGCTTCATTTATTTTGTGATTTATGATATATGTAATTTCAATCTGCTTATTTGCAAAACTAAATCACGATGCACCGTCTTACTCTCTGTGGCCGACTCCGTTTTATAGCTCGTCGTTGCTCTAGAACTGTTTAGATAATTCGTCTCAAGTAAGTTGGTCTATTGGGTAATTTTCTCAACTTGAGAGATTTTACTAAAATCGGTGTGTTTCAGCTTGAAGATGCTGTGAACATTTCAGTACTTTTTTTTCTGTTGTTCCAGGCCTGTCCGACTTATTGTCCCCATGCAGCACTGAAGCCTGAGAAGGCTTATTGTACTCAGCCTGTGTGGTTTATTCCAACCACTCCAGTATTTTTGTGCCTTGTACGAGGTTGTACAGGTCTTTTACTGGGCGGTGTTTCATTATTGTTTCCGGTTCTGCATTTGGTTGCCCGAAAATTCTGTGTCTTCTGCGATTCAGTGCCTCGCAGTTTACCAGGATGTGTCTTGCTGTCTCGGGTGCCTTATTGCAGAGTCTACAATTAAGTTTTCTGTCGTACAGGTTCATCTTGTTCAAGTGGACCTTTACTGGCCAGTCAATCGGCTCCTGCTCATTTGTAGCAGTTCTGCGGCTCTTTTGCTGCATGGTTGGACGATGAATTCCCTACCATGATTCTGCCTGGAAGTTGTCCAGTGTCGTCGATGTTTTTTACGAATCCAGTCTCTGTTGTGGCTTCTGGTCATTCATTTGGTATCCCTAGAGCCGGTTCTAGCCCGATAAGTTTTGTCTCTGACCCTCTCTTTGCGAGTTCATTAGCTGTTTCATTGCCTTCGATTCCTCTGTGTCCTGGCACCCAGCACCCAGATAAGTTTCACCTTATTCTGGTCCGCCAGGACCCTGAGTTCTTCCTGGCATTTCCTGGAATATGAAAAGTTTGAAGATTTCTTGTGTTGAAATGAGGAACATGAAGGTTGACCATGCTTGTTAGGTGGGCACAATCCACTATAGAGTTACTTAATTTAAAAAACAAATATAGGTCCCTGAGACTTCTTCTGGTGGATAAAGTTTGCAAATTTAATCTCTAGTATAGAGCTTCGTAGCTTAACTCATTATAGAAAAATGTATAATCAATGTATAGCGAAGGAATCTTCTCTGTATACCCTCTATTCTTGTGGTATGTACTTCGTAGTGAGAATTCCAAATAGATGATGCATATACATAAGTGTGACCTGACTAGACTTCAATAAAGAATTTTGAGAGCATGGATTGAGTTTAAATCTTGAGTATTTCGTTTTAGGAATCCTAACATTCTAAGCGAGTTATTAACTATAAAAGCAATATGGTCAGTGTAGGATAGTTCTAGGTCAAGAACTATGCCGAGATCAGTTATTGTTTCAACCATCAAAGGTAAATTTCCGTCAATGGTGTAATTAAAGGTTGTTTTAGAGCGTTTGCGAGAAAAGATCATTAGCTTATATTTTGATACATTTAGCTCCATTCCATTTGTCTTGCACAACTGTACAAACTCATTAGGATCATGCTGTAGCAAGAAGCAGTCTCTTGTATCGGAGATCACTTTTGAAAATTTCATATCATCATCAAAGAGCTTATGATCACTGTGCTTAAAGCGTAATCCGGCATCATTTATTAAGCAATTAAAAAGCAGTGGTGCTAAATGGGAACCTTGGGCGACTTCTGAGGAAACCGTTATTGTATGAGACAGAAAATTGTTTATTTTCACAATCTGGGTACACGTCCAGTCATGTCACTCTCAATTCAGTCAAGCATGCAACCTGAAATTCCCATTGATTTAAGTTTGCGGATTAAGATATTGTGAGGCACTTTATCAACGGCCTGTGACAACAGATTTACTTCCGTATTTCGGCCAGCACAAAATCCAAACTGATTATTTGAGATCAAAGGTGAGAGTACTGATGTTAACGTCTGGAAAGTGACCAGAGCTTAGAGACTTGTTAAATATAATTTGCAGAGGTCTGACAAGAATAATTTTTTTAAGAAGAATGGGGTGAATTTTTTCCGGACCAGGACCCTTGAAAGTATTTAAGTTGGATAGCGCAGAATATATGTCAGATATTGAAATAGCATAAGATGGTATATTGATATTATTTAGGTAGGTTTCTTTAGTAAATTTTGGTTGATTTTGAGAGTATACTGACACGCTAGAACAATACGCTACACAATACACGCTAATATAATGAATCGAGAGCCGGTAATTTGGATTATTATTGGTTCTTGATTGCTCCTAGCAATTTTCCAATGAATGGAGAACTGGCAATAGTTCCAACTTTGGAAATTTTCCAGCGAATCGAGTGCCGGTAATAGTTCAAATTTTGAATATTACTGGCTCTGGATTCACAGGAAAAATGCTACTGTGAGAGCCAAGAGCTGATAATAATCAAAATATAGACTATGACTGGCTCTTGATTGCTAATCTAGAGTAAGTTTCCAGCGAATCGGAAGCTAGAGAATAGTCCAAACATTTTCCCAGTTAATCAAGATACAGTAAAGATCATAATTTGAATTATTACCGACTCTTGATTACCACTAGAGCGGGTAATTTGGATTATGATTGGTTCTTGATTGTTCCTAGAGCAAAGTTTCTGATGGTAAACAGCTAGGAAAGGAGGTAGGAAAGTGTATGGACAGGGAAGCAAAAACAGAATGAGTGAAAAAAAAAAAAAAATGTAGGAAAATCTATAAAAACTAAAAACCCGTTGTCACCCATATGTACTAATACTACAGGATAACTTATCCTCATCAAGTGTGGCTAGATCAATAGATTGTTGTAGTTTTCAAAAAGGTTGGCTGCATCCACACTCATTTCACATGTTAAGGGAGATGTTGGAGGGTAGGCTATGAAAGTTGCGTTTAGAGTTTATGTATTTCCAAAACTGTTTTGGATCATTGTTGAGAGAGTTGAACATCTTGGACATAATTTTTGTAGCATTGCTGAGATAGGGACTTGCATAGAGTGCGTAATTTAGAAAATGATTGATAGTTTTGTTGAAATGGTAAGGAGCGAAAGTTTTTGTGGGCAATTGTTTTCTCAATAGTTGAAATAATGAGTTCTTGTGTAAAATATTTTGGAAATTTCCTACTAGCAACTTTTCTCAGAGGAACAAAAAGGTTTATTGCACTGTCGAGGATATCATAAAATTTCTGTACCATATTGCAAGCTCCGCCTTTCCGTCGGTTTGGAAACGAGCAAATGTGATACCAGTACCTAAAGTTTCTAAGCCCAATCACGTCAGCCAATTTCGGCCTATGAGTATTTTACCTGCTATTTCCAAAGTACCTACTTGAAAAAATAGTACATGAACAACTCCAAAATTTTTTCACTGAAAACAGCATTATACCATTCACTCAATCTGGATTTCGACCTTTGCACAGTACTACAACTGCTTTGCTCAAAGTTACTGATGATATTTTTGAAGCTTGTGATCGAGGTAAAAATACTGCTCTCGTACTATTGGATTATAGCAAAGCTTTCGACACACTTAATCATATTGTCCTTTGAATTAAGCTAAGATATTTTGCACTCGAAATAGCACAAGATTCTTGTTATATAACTATAAATTTCAATAAAATTGTGAAAACTCATGATAAGCAAAATTTGTGGTTTGTTTACAATACAGTACCTAACCTTTCTGGTCTTGTTTTTTGATCTCCGGTATGCCATGTTCCCATTCAGTTCTGCTTGGGAAGCTCACCTCGAATGATCTGTGCATTGTGTTCCGTCCTTTAGTTGGAGGCGGTTGTCGGCTGCAGTCTGTACGCTCCCATCCTTGCCTCTCCCTGTATCACTATGTGTAGAGGTGGAAGGTCTAGGAGGGTCTCCATGGGTGCAGTTGGTGTGGATCGTTTTAACCCAGTGATTCCTGAGCAGGCCAGTCTTTGCACTTTGCTAAGTTGGCGTATGACACTTCCCTGCAGTGTCTTGAGCCATCACACCAGGCGTATGTCAAGATAGGTTTGACCATCATATTATATGTCCAATACAGCGTGTCTGGTCTTGAGCCCCATTATTTTCCATGGAAGCGTCTGGCTATTATGAGTGATGTTACCGCTTTTTTGGTGGTGTTTTCCAGATGTTGATTCCAGGTAAGTTTTGAGTTCAGTGTTACCCCCAAGTACTTGACCTCGCTCGCAATCTGTATATTTTCAACCCTTAATCTAAGAGTTGCCAGATTTTGTATTTGATACCTTCGGGTAATGGGGATGGCGGATTTGTTGGGACTAATGTTTAGCCATGCTCTATCCACCACCCTGGTTGTTCGATCTGAAGTGTCTTGCATTCGCACCCTAACTTGAATTTACCACGTGAGATGATAACTATGTCGTCAGCATATCCGAGGAAACGATGTCCTCCGTCAGTGAGCATCTTAAACAGGCCATACGCCACTAGATTCCACAGGAGTGGGGCTAATACCTCGCCTTGCGGGCATCCCCTGTACACTCTGGCCGCCAGTGTCTCCTCTGCGATGGTAGTTTCTACCATTCTTTCTCTTAGCATGGAGTGGATCCACATACAGCAGGTGTCCTCAACTTCTTTGTGCTTGAGAGATCTGGTTATTGAATCGAAGGAAATGTTGTCGGAAGCTCCCTCTATATCCAAGAAGGAACCTAGCATCACCTCTTTGCTTGCCAGTGTGGTCTCTACTATGCTGACCAGCTGGTGAAGCGCTGTTTCTGTTGACATCCTTGTTCGAAACGCATATTGGTCTGGGTGTCTGTTTGCCAAAACACCGTCCCTAATGTGCCTATTCACAAGTTTTTTTCAGTGTCTTATGCTCAAATGATATAAGACTAATGGGTCTTAGGGACTTCGCCGTATCCTGTCCTATTTTCCCAAGTTTTGGTATGAACAATACCCTAATACGCCCTTAGAATATTACATAGTATCCTGTTTGTAAGTTCAGTTCCGTTCTGTAACATTATGGTATAGATCAGATCTGTCCCTGTTGACTTATATGGGTCAAAGGTGTTCATAGCCCATTTGACTTTTTCATAGTTGACTACTTTCTTCGAGGTCAGCCAGTCGTTCCTGGATGATCTTCGAAGTCTATAGGCTCATTCCATGTCCACTGAGTCTGATCAAATATCTTTGAGCCGGGAATGTGGGCTCTTAGGAGTTCCCTAGCCGTCTCTTCCCTTGTCTTTGTATATTCACCAAGGTTGTTCTTGAGTGATTTGATTGTTGTCTTCGGACCCCTTGACAGAGTTCTTCGCAGTCTAGCACAATCATATTTTGGTACTATTC